CTCAACAAACACACACCACGACTCAACACTCAACCAATATGAAGGTCTCAACGCTCAACTAAAACAAACATTTGAGGCAGTGTGTGGCGGCTCACCAACAAACACTGCCAGATATTGCTTTATACACGAGGAGGCGAGAAAGACCGGCGTGACCCCCCTTATATTCTCTTTACTTCGTAACATCCGGATTATTGAGACAAGCGGAGGATGGAGAGAGAAAGAGGAGGCCTGGAGTGGAGGCAGTGGGAGGAGAGAAAGATGAGGAGACCCGGAGTGAGGGAAAGGGATGGGGGGGTATCTGGGGTGGAAAGGCAGATTGGGGAGAACACCGGAGTGGGGGGTGAAGGCCTGAGAGCTAAAATTCTGATGCATGTATTGGATCAGTAATATACGGGGTCCATATTACTTCCTTGGGCTCCTTAATATTCGGGGTCCCTTTAATTTCCATGGCCCCTTAAAATTTTAGTTCCTTGTTCCCCCTTGGACCATCAATGTTGGGCTCCTTGTTATCTCACTTGCTGGACCCTTATTATTTGTGGACTTAGTTCCCTGTGAGCTCTTGGACCATTAATATTGGGGCCGTTGTTACCTCCTTGGGGTGGCCATTTAATATTTGGGGCCCTTTTCGCCCTTTGGGTCATTAATGTTGGGGGCGTTTTGGTCCCTTTGGCCATTAATATGGGGGCACTTGTCGCCCCTTGGATCCTTTAGGACACCCCCGGCCCATGTTATTTGGATCCTTAGTTATAAACATTCACCACATTAGTAACACTTATTTTCCACGTGGTCTTCGTAGTTGTTGAATTATAAATTTATTATCCATTAATTATTGGGTGTCAGAAAACTGTGAGGGCAAACTGTTTCGGAGTGAGAGCTGTGAACTCTTGGAACAATCTACCATAAAGTGTTGTGACGGCACCGAGTGTGAGCTCTTTCAAAACCAGATTTGACCAACACTGGAGCAGGTTCAGGTACATTCAGGAGCCGGTGCATGCCCAGTACTTGCCAACAGTGCGTAACAGAGACGTGACTGATCGCCCAAGCGGCTAACGAGCCTATCAGTGGTGAAGAGGATACAGTAAAATTAAAAAAGTATTTAAAAGTAAGTAAGAGAGTTTAGTTCCAGGAAAAAGAGAGCGAGGAAAGGTTGGGAAGGGGAGAGGGGGGGTGTGAGTGTTGTAAATATCGCTTAATCTAATGTGCATAAACCGTACCTTTTTCTGAGCGTGTGTTCTCAGTTCACAAGAGGGAGCCTGCATTGTGTTAATCGTACAAGCTTCAAAAGTTATAAGCCCTCATCACGGGGACACCTCAGTTAATTAAAAGTGCTGTGTAATGTGACCCTGTGTGTATATGTAATACATGTGTGTATCGGTTACATGTATGTACAGGGATATAAATGTAAATTTGTATGTTTATATAATTAAGTATACACAAACACGCACAGTATGCAGTACATATATAATTAAGTGTATCCGTGTTTATGTACTGCATAAGAATACGCATGATTGCTCTTAGTTGCTGTGCACTGAGTGTATAGTTCGCATTTGTACATGTAGTATGTGTTGCTCAGTATGAGTGTGTGTGTGTGTGTGTGTGTGTGTGTGTGTGTGTGTGTGTGTGTGTGTGTGCCACAATTTGTGAAGACGAAATATACATAAAAAGTACTTACGGAAGAGTTATGACCAAGACAAATGTTTAACAAATTTCGATGAAAAGTTTGACTTTAAAAACACACATCACTAGTAACGGTGCTTACTGTAAGTCTACATGAGCACAGCCGTGATAAGCTGTCACAGACACCCGTCACAGTCATGCACAGCTAGCTTTTGTATTCACATATCGACAACCTAGCAGAATTAAAAGGCTCCAGTCTCCTTGATACTGTACTGCCCAAGTCCATTCCACGAAAAGAATAAAAAAAAATATATATATACTGTCACTGACAGGTACAATATAATAATGTTCACTCACATCATTACTGACTTTTAATCCATATTGTATTTTTTTTATCTCCACTGTGAATGGATTCATAAAAGAAATACCACTATCACCTTTTATACTTGACATAAAGGGATTTCACAGGTGGGCCACCCCATATTATATGCAAATATGGGACTTACGTCATGTTGGCTCTTACTAGCATTGGCACCGAGCATGTTAATGTTGTATCAGAAATATGTTAATTGTACTAAGCTCACATACATACGCTCACTTAATTTTGTCTTGGTATACAAGGCTACGATGTGTGACAATTATTCCATGGCATTAATCCTCACACTACTAACGTACACAACACACTGACTGTCCTCTCCCAGATCTCCGATATCTCAGCGGCTGCGCACCACGCCCATCCCCTTACTCTCACACAGCGACTTTCTTCCTTTACTAGCACCTGTTAATAATCAATTACAAATGATTCGATTAAGCTTTAAAATGTTTTTTTTCTTCCCACCAAATAATTTTTAGCAGTTTCTTGGAGATGTTTTACCAGCTACGAATCGTATGCCTGGCACTGTGTTATGCGTCTTCGATCAGACTCACTGAACATCATACAGTCATATTTATTGGTGTAAAACGAAGTTATAATGTTCTTTAGAATGTATTTTAACGCTACTAACATCTTACTTCCATTGTACACAGGAATATGAAACTATCAGCGTAATAAATTAAGATGTTCTGCTGGTCGACTCCTTGGATGGGACGTGAGGTTGCCATAGTAACGCTCTCAAGGTCGCTACCTAATTTTCTTTTATTTATTTATTTTCTATTTAAGCCATCGCATCTTATTTATTTTATGTGGCGATTCGTCCTTCATTGCTCACACAGTAGATACACCCAGCTGGCAGTAAGGTGAGCAATGAAGGAATGCTGAAAGTGTTTTTGTTTTCTTTTACTCATTTACTTTGTGGGGAACAGGTTGTTTGGTGTTCACCCAGGATGGGATGGAGAAAGGAAACTCACAATGTGCTCTCTGTATACATGTTGTATTGGATGTACAATGCAGCTTGGTGCTGGGAAGGCAGCATGGTTACAAGCGTGATGTAGAGAGAGCTGGTTGGTGAGGATGCCCAGAGGAGGACAGCTTGTGGGTCGCCACGCTCGCCGGCAGGAGCGAGGGCCGCCAGGCAGGAGGAGGAGGTGTTGCTGGCTGGTTGGTGTCGGTAGAAAAGGGAGAGATCACCAAGAGGTCAGGTCTTAAATAGCAGGGGTAGGCGTGGCTTAGTAGTTGACCCCCGCTCCGTGGGCGGCGCTGGTTGACCTAGACCACGAGGCACACACTGGGGAATTCGTGGGGTCGGCTACGCAGCGACAAACAGCGTTTGTAGGGGAGAAATCCACTACAATACTCCCTCCTTCCCTCCAGGCGGTGTAGGAGACTTGTTGTCTGCAGGGTTGCATAGCACATGTGAGGCAGAACGGGAGGTGCATGCCTCATGTGAGACAACGGCGATGGCGTGGATGAGCCGGCCGCTAGAGACAACTGTCTAGATACACAATATCTGTGGGAGTAGAGAGGGAGAAAAAAGGTGTGTGGAGGCGATGAATGTTGTGTTTCCCTCACGGTAGGTACAGAGTCGTCAGATGCGCCTGCTGGGGTGTGTGGGCCTGGGTCAGGAGCAAGGGCTGCGTCAGCAGAAGCGGATTAGGGCTCGTGACAGCAGCTGGGTCCACGACAGCAGCAGGGTGCAGGACAGTAGCAGGGAGTACCTGAGGGAGAAAAGAGGGGTGTGTGGATCCGCACTCAGGAGCAGGGACCGCATCAGGAGAAGTGGCAGGGAGTACTGCTGGGCCGGGGTGGCGTCTGAGGCAGGACGGGCGGTGCATGTGCTTCCCTCACGGCAGGTACAGAGTCGTCAGATGCGCCTGCTGGGGTGTGTGGGCCTGGGTCAGGAGCAAGGGCTGCGTCAGCAGAAGCTTATGAGGGCTCGTGACAGCAGCTGGGTCCACGACAGCAGTAGGGTGCAGGACAGTAGCAGGGAGTACCTGAGGGAGAAAAGAGGGGTGTGTGGGTCCACACTCAGGAGCAGGGGCCGCGTCAGGAGAAGCGGCAGGGGGTACTGCTGGGCCGGGGTCGGCATCTGAGGCAGGACGGGTGTGTTGGTCCGCGTCAGGAGCAGGGGCCGCATCAGGGGCGGCAGGGGGTACTGCTGGGCCGGGGGCGGCGTCTGAGGCAGGACGGGTGTGCTGGGGTCGGAAGAGGAGCGGCTGTCTGCTTAGAGTAGCAGAGCTGCTCTAGGGTGTCTAACCTGCTTTGTAGAGACAGTAGCTGTAGAGCCGATGAGAGCTGCCTCTGGGTGGATAAGCCAGTCTTCCATGTTGCTTGAAGACTGGGAGAGTGATCTGTTTCTCCTCCATCCTGTGTGAGTGCGAATCTCCGGGGATCACCATTTGTGGGGTATGGTAGTTTGTTCTTTCTCCTCCATCCTGTGAGTGTCACTCCGTAGCATTTGTGCACCGATGAAAGTTTAATGCTGTGGAGGGGGAGGCTGTCAGACAGACATTGTATTCCATAATGTGTTGAATGTTATGTCAACTGATACACTACAAATATCTGTGATACAGAAATATTATGGACTTGAGTATATAAGATAGCATTAAGGTCTAACTATTATTATACCCTTTGAATCCTTTCGGGGATTTTACTTTAATATTGTAGCACTGAGTTAAACGGATCTTTTGTCAATACTGTAAATAAAAATAAAAGTGAAGTACATTTCTTTGTGATGTCAAGCACCAGCAACACGAGTGGACATAACTACCAGCTCTCCAAGTTATCATGCAGAAAGAATATAAGGAAACACTTCTTCACACAGTGGCTGGTAGATCTGTGGAACAGTCTTCAAGTCTGCAATGGAGGGATACTGCACAGGTAACTGGCCTGCTTCCATCGGCATGGCCACCTATAGTGGGTGGCCATTAGGTAAATAAGATAACAAAAAAATAAGGTAAAATTAGAGCACAGTATGTCCCTAAGTTAAGTTTCCCGTTTTCAGCAACAGCAGTAGTGAGGAGCGGCGACAGATGGCGGAGGCTCACCCACCTCCCACCCAACCAGACCATTGTTGTTGACATTTAGATTTAGTGAGGAAGCTGCTGCTGCATCAGTTCATCAGTTAAAGGTTTGTTAGTTGTGACATAAAAGAAGTCTAACTTGAATTGTGTAATACAACAGTGTAACACGTGAAGTAGGCGTAATGTCACAGTCAAATACTTGTGTCTGGTCATAATTAAGAGAAAGTAAGTTGGGAGAGTAACTGTAAAAGTCAATTAGGTGTTGATTACTTTTTTTTTTAATAATTTTTTTTCAATTCTGTTCGCTTGTTAGCTTACAAATGAGCTGGTCAATTCTGTGGTACATACTGTTGGCAAGTATGAAAGATGTGAACAAGTGCCATTGTTGGTCTGATGTGGACTTAAAGTATACTGTCTGCCAAGTTCACAACTCCTTCTCCATGTGAATTATATTAACATTTGTCTGTGCTGTACTTGAGGCTGTGACCTAGTGGGACAGTCATTTATCTATTATCTTCTACACGTCATATCTTGTTGAGATGATTTCAAATTTCTTTACGATTGCCCTTTTTCAGTGTATAAACAACTTGGGGTAATAGTCTACAACACCATCCTGTTACAAGGAACCTCTTTAGGATAAAAGTCCATAGAAGAAAACTTGTTTCCTTTATCTCAAACAATTGAAGTTTTTAGGAATTACTTTTTGCTATTTTGTTTTTATGGTTATTTTGGGACTGAACACTACGCCCACCTCTGTGTGGCGGCCATTACTAGCTGACCAGAGATTGATTTATTATATAATTTAAATTAACCAACTTCCCTAACCACCTAGTCTAAGCTGCCTGTCTTAGGTTGAAAATACTAATGTATTATAGCTTAGGTAGCGAGGTAGGGGTCTTAATATGCTGTCAGTTCATATGGAAAGCCTTTTGTTAATTTAGTTTGTGAGTGTACATATGCATCTTTAGTTTATGATAATTAGCTCATGAATGTGTTGTACTATACTTGGGGATTAAGACATTGTAATGAGTTTTTATGACAGCACAAATTTCTTATCTAGGTAAAGGTTCATTTTAGGTCGAGCATGGAATTTTTTTTCTATTTATATAGAGAGAAAGGGCTGGGGAAAAAAGATATAGAAAAATACTTATTCTGTTAAGTTTCCGGCACAAATTGATATATATTTTTTTAGTATTCTAACCGATAAAACCTCCCCAATTACCAACAATATTGGTTGTTCAAAGTGGGCAGGGCTTTGAAGTATACAGAAAATGTGTGGTAAATTATTAAAAAGAACAGTCTACAGTATATATTTCTAAAGAGAGAGTACAGCATTATACAGAAAACTTCAAGTAATGAATACAGTGACCCCTCGTTTAACGAACGCCTCGGTTAACAAACTGCCTTCCATAAGGATCTTCAATTCGGTTAACGAATTTCTTACGAACAGACCTCAACATGTTTTCGCTTGCACTGACCAGGCAACCAGCTTTAGTATCAGTCCGCCAATACATTAATCGGTTCTAGGGCTTAAATTCCTTACTAGTTTAGTAAATATCAAGAAGTTTATACTATTCAATAATTTTAAAAGTTTAATATTCAATTTTTTAGTCATTTTAACAATTATTGAACATAATTGAAGGTAAAGTGACTAGTTTGATGCGCGGCATCCAGCCTCTTAACACAGCAAACATGCGTTAGTCTCTCTCTGTTTTCACTGGAGGTAACATCTTGCTTCAGACTCTCTTCAACTAAATGCTTTTTCTGTGTTTCCAAGCAAATTATTGGTCATTTTGAAATATATTTCATATTGACAATATATAATGCAGTGCAGTGTTGATTTAAAGAAAATAATCTTGAATTACACCAAGAGAGCTAAAATTTTATGGGTGAAATGAGCCATGGGTGACTTCTCTTCCACCCCAATGCCTCTTTTTTCCTTCTCCTCCACCCCCATTCTAAATCCCATCATCATCATCATCATCATCATCCAGGAGCCTTCTACATACACACCTCAAAGTAAGTGAACTTTTCTATCATTTTTGTTGAATTTAGGAAATTTTCGGTGAGCTGGAACCAATTACCCAAAAACCCATTAAAACAATGGTTTCGGTTAACGAACGACCTTCTGGAACGGATTGAGTTTAGTTAACCGAGGGGTTACTGTACATTGAAAACTCTTGATATATACAGCATAAATTCTGTTCAAATACGGTACTTTTTATAGTGTTCATCCGAAAACAATTTCCCCATTGTACATTCTGATATTCAAATGGATATTTCTATCACTATGGTTTTCTTCTCATAAGCAGGATATTAACACATCTTCATCCATCAGCAGTAACATTGGCAGATGTTCGTATTAATGTCCTTCCCATCTCTTTTTGATTCATGCTCATTCGAATCAAACTGTTCCGTTGACAGCTCCACTCTTGTGTGGTGGTGGGATGTTCGGCCTAGTGATCTGTCGTCGAGGAAGGGTGCAACAGGCTATGCACCCTCCACTGCCAGTGTATAACGAACTTTTGAAAGGAGCTGTACATATTATGTGCTCACCTGCATGGTACAGGGTTGGGGATTAATTGAATAATTTTGTTATTTTACAGATGTTGAAGACAGTGGTGTGAATCATGTTGTACATCCTGCTTCTATATGCTGTTGTCCAAGGAGCAGGTGAGAAAAACAAATACTATACTGAATTGTAATAAAATCCCTCAATGTCTTAACCACACACACACACACCACAAGAGGTCACAGCTCAAGGTTGAAGAAGCTACAAGTCCAGAAAACTGTGAGGGCAAACTTTCTCAGAGTGAAAATTGTGAACTCTTGAAACAATCTGTCAGAGTGTTGTGATGGCACCGAGTGTGAGTTTTTTCAAGACCAGACTTGACCAACACTGGAGCAGGTTCAGATACATTCAGGAGCCAGTGCATGCCCAGTATTTGCCAACAATGCGTAACAGAGATGTGACCGACCGCCCAAGCGGCTAATGAGCCGATCATTGGTGAAGAGGATAAAAGTACAAGTAAAAAGTTTTCATGTTCCAGGTATTCACAAAAAAAAAAGTGGAAAAAAAAGTTAACACAATGAAATAAGCTCACAATGGTGGAATGAATTTTAAACTGGCGACCGTAATTAGACGCTGATTAATGTAGTACCAATCTGTTCACAGCTTTTGAATACCTGTAATATATACTGTACTGTATATAATACATTCCGAACAAAGAGTGCTAAAACGAAACGGCCTTCAAAAGGCAGTGCTGTAAGAGTTAAGAGTGTACTTACATAACACAATAAAAGATTTATCAAAAGGAGGACATGTGCTGTGGTTGGGAACATAACCCCCTTTTACTGTACCTTTTACTATAGAAAGCTGTAGCTACAGTATTTCTTTATGCTAGTTTTACTTATGTCAGCCTTTTCTAGTAACACAGCAGCCCGTGTCATAAACAGGGACTTGATGCTGAAAATAAGTCTCATGTTGGTGGTGAAATGAGATTTTTATATCTCCCAAGTACAGGCAGTCCCCGAGTTATGAACACCCTCATTTGCAAACACCCGCACTTACAGACACCAGCACTTACAGATACCCTCACTTACAAATGAGACTAATATATTCATAAAAATTTGTAACTTTAATCCCATTCTTTACATTAGTGTACTTTCGTTATTCTATACAGCTCCTCCCTGACTTACGACTAGGTTAGGGACCCAAATCCAAGTCGTAAGTCGAAATGGTCGTAAGTCGAAAATGCTTAAATAATACAAAGAAAATCTAAAATGGGTGCCCTTTTTCTTCTCAGCACCACAAAACTCACTTTTAAGCTTGCCAGCCATTTTAAAGTGTTACTAAACGAAAATTTTGTCTGTACTGACGTTGGGACTCAAAATCATGAATTTGACAAAATTTTGGTACGATTGAGGCAGATCGTTAGTGCGGGTGGTTGTAAGTCGAGTAGGTCGTAAGTCGGGCAGGAGCTGTATTGTTTAACATTACTTTATTTACGGTGCAGTATTTACATTATTTGTTATGTATGGGATGTTATTGTTGAATGGAATTAACAATGTTTCGACTTATGAACTGGGACCAGGAACTTAACCTGTTTGTAACTCGGGGAATGTCATATGTTCTATGGGATAAGTAAACATAGTAGGATTTTCTTTCTGACTCGATTTACACTTACAGTATTGAGTGACTTACTGCACAAAATGGTACAGTACAGCATTTAATGTTAGCAGAGGGGGTTGTCAGGTGACCTCAGTAAACTTGCATGACTTATTTTTATTTCTCCATCATGTACAGACAAAAGTCCTGTCACCTCTCCTGCTGTTCCACAAACTCTGAGATTCAGACTCGTCAACCCGAAGCAGTAGACACTGGTGCATTATTCTGTCCACACAGGCTTTGGATTCACAAGTCTGTATCTCAGGGTTCGTGGTTTAGGAAGAGAGGTGACAGCTTTTGTGGGTGACTGTACATAATACTGAATTGTACAGTACATAAAGCCTATGTGTTATTATTGTAGGGGCTAAATCATCATGGGAATGCCTTGCCCTGGATGGAGAACTTGTGCCCAATGGGGAGTCATTTGTCCCCGGACCCGACTACTGCACTGTCTGCAAGTGTGATGAAGGCAAACCTCGTGTGTGTCGAGCTGTTCTGTGTCAGCCACCACAGGTATGTAAACAGTGCAGGGATCCTAGTGTGAAGTACTGTACTGTACATTATATTAGTGGTTCTATACGTTGGTGGTCTTTATAGGGATTTTCATTTAAAAGTGGTTATGGTATAAAAAGCTCATTTTAACTATGGTAATAAGTTTCCTTGAAAATGTAAAAAAATATTATATTATTACTGCATGTGTTTATTATTGGAACTGTTTACAGTATGTAGTGGAACCTTTTCAGGTTCACTGTTAGGTAGTAAGTTTTAACATAGCTACTGTGGTCAGTACTCTTGAATGTTAACATCTTGTCTAGACAACACATACTGATCTCTTTCCTGCATTCAGAAAAGTGTCTTGATCTCCAAGATTGTGGAGAAGAGAGCTAGGGGTAGGTCAAGAATGTGGAGAAGAGAACTAGTGGTTGGTCAAGAATGTGGAGGGGAAGAGAGCTAGGGGTTGGCCAAGAATGTGGAGGAGAAGAGAGTGATTAGTTGGTCAAGAATGTGGAGGAGAAGAGAGTGATTAGTTGGTCAAGAATGTGGAGAAGAGAGCTAGTGGTTGGTCAAGAATGTGGAGGGGAAGAGAGCTAGGGGTTGGTCAAGAATGTGGAGGAGAAGAGAGTGATTGGTTGGTCAAGAATGTGGAGGAGAAGAGAGTGATTGGTTGGTCAAGAATGTGGAAGAGAAGAGAGTGATTGGTTGGTCAAGAATGTGGAGGAGAAGAGAGTGATTGGTTGGTCAAGAATGTGGAAGAGAAGAGAGTGATTGGTTGGTCAAGAATGTGGAGAAGAGAAATAGTGTTTGGTCAAGAATGTGGAGGGGAAGAGAGTGATTGGTTGGTCAAGAATGTGGAGGAGAAGAGAGCTAGTGGTTGGTCAAGAATGTGGAGGAAAGAGATTGTAAGAAATTACTATATGGATAAAGACTTGATGAGAGAGGTTGCAGAAAACTGTGCACCATGGTTAGCTGTCAGTAAGTAATTACAGTTAACTTGTGGAAAATGGCTGTAAAACATTGACAATGATGATGATGGCGGTGTATGCTAATTTGTTATTTTTCTCATTTGACAGGATTGTAATTCCTTCCGGTTAGGGAGATCATGCTGTGATTTCATCTGCCTGGATGGCATACTTCCCAAGAGGCCAGATGGTAGTGGAAACATGCCTTCCACAGACTTGGGGTTACGCTATGTAGCCTCTGCTGTCACGGCCATACTGTCTCTCGCTCTCTTGTTGTTCTCACACAGGTTGAGACAGCGTCGAATCAGAGGTTTGTATCAATGTTTTAAGGGTTAGATTTAAACATCATTTTTTTTCCTTATACAGTACATTAAATACCCCGAGTCCCGGACACCTGAGTAACAACATGAATCTTTGAAAAAACAATTAAATTAAAAAAATATTTTGGCATCTTGCAGGTCCTTGTTTTTTATGTGGAGCGTATCGGTGGCTGCCAGCCCAGTCCTCAGTACAACAACACAGAATAACAAAGGATTGTAACCTATTCCCTTCTGCTTATTATTAAATCATCCTATAATTCAACACTAGCTTTTGAGAAATACTGGGTATAATCTTAGACATAATTTGTAACAAGACAACACTAATGAGTCTTGGCCGTGACTACCACCACAACATCTGACGCTATCAACAGTGTTACCATCTCTGAAACTGAATTTCCGTTACTAAATCCTATGAGAAATAAGATAAAATAATATGTACCAATAAATGTAAGGAATAAATAAAAATAATACCAATAAATAAATAAATTATGTATTGCTACTACACAGAGGAGCAACTAAGAACAGCTGAGATCCCTCACTCCCCCATCCCTGTTCAGTGTGAACTCTTAACACACAAAGAAAGTTATTCCTTTATGTTTTTTTTCACTTATGATAATAATTGTTTTTTATTTTATTTTTTTTTTGCTTATTCTGTATGTAATATTGTGTGCATGTAAAAAAATATATATACTGTATCTACCTGAAATTACGAGTTGAAAGATAACCATAATACTGTATAGCTGACAGCCACTGGAATGGTAGGAAGAGGGCTAGGGGGATGTGGCTATAGTGACGGGTCCAGTGTTACGATCGCAAATACAAAATTAATATAAAATACATTATAGTGTTCATGTTAACAATCATGTTATACAATACCCCATTCACATTTCAATCCCTTTTACTTGGGAACACCAGTCAGACACATTATCAGCAGTTAAAACTAATGGCTAACTTATGTAGGTTACTGTTACCTTAGATATAGATTGCAATGTAAAAATACTCACTTATGGGTGTAAGCCATTTCTATCAGTACAGTGATCCCCTCACCTTTACGCGGTTAATTCAACCCACGCGCCCGCGTAAAGTGAACAACATAACATATGGGATTAATTGAAATAGAGACCGGGCCGACCCCCAAACTCCACTTTTTCAGACACAATACCTACGTTGTAGTAAAAATAACTTCTTAATTTTATGATGGTATGCACACACAATGAATAATTAAGAGAAATATCAATAATATTAGGTTTTTAACACTTACATTAGTAGAAAAGATGGCTGGGCACACGATGGGGGTTGGTTCCGAGGCAGAGGGCAGATTATTGGCCCTCACCTGTATCACTTGTATCAATTGTATCACTATCCACCACAGAGGCTTGCAGGCCTCTTTGTCAAACCCTCAAAGTCCATATAAGTCCATATCCTCACTATCATTATCACTATCACTGACTTGGGCCGGCTGTGGTGGGTGGCGGTGAAGAACTCGTAATGTTTTGATGATCGGGCGACCTTTTAGAAGACCTCTCATACCGCCTCCCGCTGCAGTGCAGGGTACACACACCGCTGAAAGTGAGTATTCCGGTTTCGCAGGGTACCGCAGAACGTGGAAACGCCAGAAGTGGGATCGTGAAAAGCTAGGTTGACTGTACATATAATGGATATACTTTGACCTTCACCAAGCAGTAGGATATGGTGCAGCTTGTAACTTGATATAGTATCGTAAAATAAACACCATTTTTTTTTTGCATTCTCAGAAAGAAACAATTTCTGATCGTGAGCTATAGAACTAAATGTCTATGTTTACTGGAGGGAACTGGGGCATGCTGTTGGGTGTGGAGGAGGGAAGGAGTCAACATTTTGATTCTTCATAGCTTTTAAGTTTTTATGTTCTCATGAAGAAAGTTTAAAACGTCTTGTGGGTATTTTTTAGGTTTTTCACATTTCTCATGTCTTACCAGGTTTTGGATGTCTTTAATTTCAAATATACATTTAGTTTTATTCTTGTCGGCAATTACATGCTTACCCTCATCTTTGTCTAACTGGCAGCCCTCCTTTCCTTTCCATGTTCAGTGTAATTTTGTGTATGTGTTGATTAATTAATATTAATTTATTCATAAATATTATTATTTTAAGTTGGTTTTGTACCTTTACTTTCTTAAGATTCCAGACACACTCCTTTACATCATGACACGCTCTTGTGCCCCCTCCATTTCATTGAATAACAACACAGAACTTTGACACACTATACTGTATGCTGTTCAGTGACTCACAGATGCATCATGTGTACAGTATGTAGAATATAACTTGTCAAAATTTACTCTATCTTCATTTCCCTTGCCAGAATTTGTAATGTAACTGAACAGAGGGAGGAAGAGTTATCCAAAGTTTATTTATGATAAATGATGACCTAGATAGAGACATAGTTGAAATAGGTGTGCTTATAGTAGAGTTTTGAAGCTGTCTGCAGTAACTTTTAAACTCCCATGTTTTATATGCTGTGTGTGTAATAAGAAAATTTATTGCATAACTTAAATGATTTTTGAATGCAACTTGATTATAATTTTAAGTTAAAAAATTACCTGATTTAATAGATAATCAGTTATTTAATTGTGTGTGATTTTTATTCTTCATTGTAACAAAGTCTTACAGCTCAGCAGCAGTACTATGAGGATCAGCTGGACTCTCCAGGAGGACTTCACCCAGACTCTTGCCAGAGCAATGCTTGCTGTCACAATGCTGCATACTGCAATGGCAATGACCATGTTGATTTTTTCCTAGATGGTCATACACCTCCTTATTCTATGTGGAAGCCTCCCTCCTTCTACTTCCCTCATGAAGATGCTCCACCACCTTACAGTGAAGTGGTGGGTAGTTCATACAGATTATCAGAGGCCAGCAACTCTCTGGGTCCATTTATGGTACAGCTTGGACCTTCCGGGGAGTCCTCAGATAACAACAGAGGGAGCATAGCATTGATTGGTGCCATTGGTGGGGGCTACAGGAGGCCCAGTTCACCATCACTTTCACCTCATAACATCACCCCAGAGGGTGCTAAGGGAACGGGAGTTACGCTCAGATCCGACGAAATGTATGAGGATGGTAACCCAGACATGGACGGTCCTCCTCCTTGCTATACATCATCGCAGCCTCTGAATGATCTCAACCGTGGCACTGATTTAAGGGCTGTGGGGGAATTTGTTCCTGCTGTTAGTAATGATGCTGCTGGATGTTCAGCCACTGCAGCAACTACACAAGAGTGTGTGTGTGGTGAAGATTCTAGCTGCAACCTTTGTGCTTCACACAAACATGGTGCCAGCAGGAACAACAACACAGTTCAACAGCCGTCAGTGTCTCCTATTAGGTGAGTGATCATTTGTTGTAGCTTTAGTGTATGCTTAGTTATACAGTATTGTACAGTACAGTATAAGGAAAAACAGTCAATTTGTGACACTACATATTATGGAGGTTTTAGTGAACAGTATTGAATTTTTTAATGTTTGTCAGAGGAGACTTTTCCTTGCTGAGTTGGTAATATCTTTTTTCATATTATGTATGATTTAAATTCATAGTAGTGTTTTATATACTGTATTTAGAATGCGTCCCCCCCGAGAGAAGCGTTCGTCACTACTACAGAGAGATGGTGAACGGACCTCCACCTTGGAAGAATTTCAGCTGTGTCTCAGCATGGACATTTCTGACTCCTCAACCTCATCTGATGTTCCTACACGGACATTTTCCTCATCTTCTGAAGATTCTACCTCCATGGACACAACGTCTGAGATGCGGTGAACTGTTAAGTCAATAGTTAATGTTGGCCACAATTATTACTTAATGTTGGCCACAGTTATTACCTAATGTTGGCCACATTTATTACTTAATATTGGTCAAAGTTATTACTTAATGTTGGCCACAGTTATTACTTAATGTTGGCCCACAGTTATTACTTAATGTTGGCCACAGTTATATTAATAATGTTGGCCACAGTTATTACTTAATGTTGGCCACAGTTATTACTTAATATTGGTCAAAGTTGTTACTTAATGTTGGTCAAAGTTATTACTTAATATTGGCCACAGTTATTACTTAATGTTGGCCACAGTTATTACTTAATGTTGGCCATGGTTATTACTTAATATTGGCCACAGTTATTACTTAATGTTGCCACAGTTATTACTTAATGTTGGTCAAAGTTATTACTTAATATTACCACAGTTATTACTTAATGTTGGCTACAGTTATTACTTAATGTTACACAGTTATTACTTAATGTTGGCCACAGTTATTACTAATGTTGGCCAATTATTACTTAATGTTGGTCAAAGTATACTTAATGTTGGCTATGGTTATTACTTAATATTCCTACAGTTATTACTTAATGTTGCCACAGTTATTACTTAATGTTGGCCACAGTTATTATTAATATTCCACAGTTATTATTTAATGTGGCTACATTTATTACTTAATATTGCCACAGTTATTACTTAATGTTGGCCACAGTTATTTAATGTTGGCCACAGTTATTACTTATATTGGCCACAGTTATTACTTAATGTTGGCCACAGTTATTACTTAATGTTGGTCAAAGTTATTACATAATATTGGCCACAGTTATTACTTAATGTTGGCCACAGTTATTACTTAATGTTGGCCACAGTTATTACTTAATGTTGGCCACAGTTATTACTTAATGTTGGTCAAAGTTATTACTTAATGTTGGTCAAAGTTATTACTTAATGTTGGCCACAGTTATTACTTAATATTGGCCACAGTTATTACTTAATGTTGGCCACAGTTATTACTTAATGTTACACAGTTATTACTTAATGTTGGCCACAGTTATTACTTAATGTTGATCAAAGTTATTACTTAATGTTGGCCACAGTTGTTACTTAATGAAGTTACATAAGAAAATAAGGAGTCTGCAATAGGCCGGTTGGCCTGTGCATGGCAGTTCCTGTCGAGAGTTACTACCACTCTCTATCATCCATGAATCTGTCCAGCCTCCTTTTAAAACTTTCCAGTGTTCCAGCACTTACTACAAAGTTGCTAAGCTTGTTCCACTTGTCCACCACCCTATTTATGAACCAGTTCCTTCTTATCTCCCTCCTAAACCTAAACTTATCCAACTTAAATCCGTTGCTACGAGTCCTATCCTGCTCGGATATTATAAGAACTTTATCTGTATATGTTCTGGGTACCAAGTTCTATCTACAGGAGCGAACACAAACACCTGTAGAGTTTTCGTAGGTTCTATTTACTGGACAAACAGAGTTACACAAGCGAGGTGGCTCTCCCTGATCTGTCCGGGGGGTCAACTAGCCTTTCAGGCGACATGTGGCAAGTGATACATTAGCAGCTTCCATATGTCGCCAGGCACATTAATTAAGCATGTGGGACATGGTAAATACATTGCCACACGCCATGCTAGGCTGAATAAATAATGTATATAAATGGAGCACATACATAATATACATACAGCATACATAATATACATACAGCATACATAATATACATAACCCCCCTCCCCCATACCATCATAGCAAAGTCTTGAGCGGACCTTTTTCTTTTGATCCATTCTGACGCCGAGGACTTGATCACTGGGGAGGTATAGGACTCAACACTGGTGGCGGGTCAACAGAAGGCGCATACGGGCAGAGAAAACGGCGTTCCTCCACCATACACCCACTGCTGGGTAATCGCACCTGGTAGTCCCGCGGACTCACCGAGACCCATGACTGCACCCACTTTGTCCCAACGAGGGAGGTCGGGTTCTGAACACGGACTTGGTGCCGACACTCAACCTGGGAGAGAACGGGCGTGGTCGCTAGAAGGGCGATGACGCCTTGAACACGTTTACGGCTCGGCGATCACAACTTCTGTCTTGGCTTGCCACTCTTTGGAGAAGGACTGAGGGTGAGCAGGAACACATGAACGGAGGGTGGGCGTCCATACAAGACCTGGGCAGGGGCGTCCGTAATTGGGTGTGTTGTGGAGTTCAAGAAGACTCGTCGAAGGCCCGGTGAGTCAATATTCCCAGAAAGGGCCACCTAGGATGAGGTGCTTCAGGGATTTGACAGCAGCCTCAGCGGCCGCTTGGACTGCGGGTAATGGGGCGACGACAACAATGCCGGACTCCCCATCGGTCAAGGAACACAGCAAAGTCCCGGCTTGTGAACTGGGGCCCTCCGTCAGTTCAAGAGGGCGCACAGGAACTCCCAAGGATCTCCTCCAGACGCTTAGTATTAAAACCTCTTCTGGAGGCTTGCTACCTTCGCCGCTGGGGCAGCGTGAAGTGAGAGCTTGGATCTGACAAGTCAATGATCGGTGTCACAGTGGTCTGAGCCACACATGGCACGGGTGATGAAGACATCTCAGCGATCTCTTTCTCTGACAATGATGTAGTCAATGAGATGCCAGTGTTTGGATTATGGGTGTTGCCACGAACCCTTGAACTTGTCAGCCTGCCTAAATAAGGTATTGGTGATAGTGAGGTTGTGAGCAGCACACTTGCTGAGGAGGAGTATGCCATTGGGATTACACTTGACTAGTCCATTTCTCCTAATGGTTCCCTGACAAATGTTAGCATCTCTGCCAACTCTGACATAGAAGTCGCCAAGGAGCACAACCTTGTCTTCTTTGGGGATAGAGGTTAGCACGCTTTCGAGGTCGGCGTAAAAGGCCTCCTTGATGTCATCCTTTGCTTCCAGTGTTGGGGCGTATGCACTGATGAAGGCATGACGTGAGTGATTCAGTGGGACTCGAAGCCTCATGGCGCCGTTGATCCCAATTGGCATTTCAGTTAGCTTGTGTAGGATGCGTTGGTGGATGGCAAAGCCAACTCCATAAATGCAGTTTCTTCCTGCATCAGGCTTACCCTTCCGGAAGAAGGTGTAGCCAGACCTGTTCTGTGAGTTGGCCCTCATTTGGGAGCCGGGACTCACTGATGGCTGCTACATCGATGTTATACCTAGCCAGCTCTTTTGCCATAAGGGCAGTTCTTCTTTCAGGATGTGCATTTGTGCTAGTATCCAGAAGGGTCTTGACATTCCATGCAGTGACCATAAGAGGTTGTATGGCACCATCCCATCTATTGTTAAAATAATAAACAATTCCTGATTTCCTGATTTATGTACTGTACAGCCCTGTAAATGTATTCAATGCATATTATATTATTATGTCTAAATCAAATGTAAGTGTATATTTTTAGCCACCGGCTGCTACTCTATTAATAAACCGTTTATTATTATTATTATTTTATCATTATTACACACACACACACACACACAGGGTATACAACTTAATTAACCTTCTTTCTTTGATAGCAAGAAAGAGTGTCAAATCACTATCACTTAAAGAGGGATACCTGTAACTAAAGGCGTTTCAGATGCACGGAATAGCTAACTCGTTAGCTATTCTGTTCGGCGCAGACGCTGCTGCTGACTTCTGCGCTCAATACACCTAGACCCCGACTTACGACGGGCTTAGGGACCCAAATCCAGGTCGTAAGTCCGACATGGTCGTAAGTCCGACATAGATAAAAAAAAATTTTTTAATAAAAATCTACAATGAAATACAGTACAGTAAAAGTAATGAATAATGATGAATTGATACAGCAGTGAAAGTAATAAATAATAAGGAATGGATATGTGACTGGAGCACTTAACCTTAATGTAGTCAGCTGAATGCAATATGGGCCCCATAATTTTCTAATTATACATGGAGACTACATTAACTGGAAACGTTTCGGTATAGAAAATGCGGTGTCATTTAAATTTTTTTTTTATCTATATCTGAGGCGGTCGTAAGTCCCGACGGTCGTAAGTCCCGACCGGTCGTAAGTCCACGTAGTCGTAAGTCGGGGTCTAGGTGTACTTTCAGAGGGAAAGTAAACGTCTCGATCAGGCGTTAGCATTTGCAGCGGGCAGCAGCACCCAAATAGATATCAACCAATCAGCGATTTCTCTCGTTGAAATTAGGCAGATCATGGCCGCTTATGGAGAATATTTTTGTTAATATTGAAGAGTTGGGGGGCATGTAAGGCAATAAAAAACTGTGATATAATAATAAAAATAATTATATATATTGTAGTATATTGGATAGGACCTAAAACAAAGTGTAAGGCATGAAAGAATTGAAAAGGATTGCTTCTAGTTGATACCTGTTTAAGCTGCACCCTTTTTACGTGGGTGTTGTCCAATTTCATTAACCGTTGGTGACTTTGGTGTAACAAATTTGAAAATTACTCAAATATGATTTAAACTTTAATATTAATACTCATAAGTTACTTGAAATAAGGGTGAACAAGTTTATTACAATTCTGTAAGTGCAAAAATTAAGATTTAAATGAACTTGAAATTCGTCAGATTACATGTGAACACAGCTGCGAGAGTTCTTGGGCTTTCGGAGTCCTTTACAACGGGCCTGATTTTGGGTGTTATTCTTATTTATTGTTGACTGACTTTTTTCCTTTTTTGTCTTTCTTTCCATAATTTTCTATATATTTTCTTCACTATTTATTTCCGTATTGTGTCCAAATAACAGTTCTGCCTAATTTGATTGTTTTCTGAAGACTTTTGTACAACAGTTATTTTCAAAACACGGTACAATGTCGTATTTTTTAATGACACTTAGGGAAAGCAACTGCTTAGCTATTCCATGCATCTTAAAACGCCTTTTTTTCTCCCGAGTGTGTAGGTGAGGTTCTTTTAATGACACATAAACATGGTGGCACATGAAGGCTTTGGACCATCTCCCTCCACATCTTTAAGTATCAAAATAAACATGAATTATAGAAACATTTACAGAGGAATTCCTGCATGTCAGAGAAGGGGCTATTTGATATGTAGTGGGGTATGCTATAACGAATCTAATTGGTTCTAGAACCTTGTTCGTTATAGCATTCGTTCGTTATAGGATTAATCCGTTCCAGGCCCCCAAATACAACCACTTAACACTGAAAAATATAATATAAAATTGTAAAAATTGTAAAAAAGTGCATAAATATGCATCTAAACCCTGAAATAAAGAATATCATTAATACTTGTAATAAAAAAACAATAAATTAGTAAAAACAAAAAGAAAAAAAAAAAATTTTAAATAATGTTCGTTGTAGGAGTTTCGTTCATTATAGCATTCTCAATTTTATAGGTAAAACCGTTCGTTATAGGAATATTCGTAGTAGGATCCGTCATATAGCATACCCCACTGTACTGTAGTGATATCTCAATTAGTCGGAACAGTTGGTGCAGAGCACTTCCAGGAATGAGAGATTTCCAGGTAACGAGATGACTTTCAAAGCCGAAAAACCTGCATCCCCGTTATTTTCCGGGTAACGGAAAAATGTTCTTGGAAGTTCCTGAAATTCCATTACATCATCTCTCGAACTTGGAAAAATATCCCCCATCCCTGGAATTTTCTGGGTACAGTAGGGTTGGGATATGTTGCGAGATAGGGTCCAAGGATGTTCGCCACATACTAAATCGCGATATATAATTACATGTAATCAATGGGGAAAATAGGGTTAGGTTCTGGAGGTCATTAAAAGTGACTAAACTTGACTTAATGAGTTTATTTTCTAAATAACTAAAGCACCAATGAATACTAGACTCAAGAACAACAGACTGTTTCAATATTAATAACAAGGAACACCAGACTCGGCAGCTGACGCTCCATCCCGGGAACACCAGATTCGGCAGCAGACGCCACACTGCCACCATCACTTAACAATCCCACACCTACAAAAACAAACAAACCAAAAATATTAGCTACAATATTTAATCTTTTTCATTAAACTTTCCATTCTCTTCACTTCACTTTTCACGTCACTAGCAACCCATTTACGGTACACTCACCTTAGAAATCGGAATCTGCAGCAGAGTCGTCTGCTGACTCGTGACTCACAGCCAGCCTCCTCTACGTCACGCGTGTGTAAGTGAACAGCCACGGTGGCGCCTCTGGTGAGCAAATAACACATTTGTTGCCGTGATGTAAATTTGAAATATTTCCTGCCTGATTTTCCTCGCGAAATAAATTGATTTATCGCTATATATTGGAAAATGTCGATAATTTTGGTAGTCGTGATATAAAAAAATCGCTATACGGCTACTCCCCGACTTACGACACGGGTTAGGGACCGATATCCAGGTCGTAAGTCGGAAATGCTTAAATAATACATAGAAAATTTAAAATGGGTGTCTCTTTTTCTTCTCAGCACCACAAAACATTCACTTTTAAGCTTGCCAGCCATTTTAAAGTGAATTACAGATGACAATTTTGTCTGTGTACTGACTTTGGGACTCGAAAATACGTAATTTGACCAAATTTTGGTATGACTGAGGCAGGTCGTAAGTGCGCGGTGGACGTAAGTCGAGTATAGGTCGTCAGTCAGGGAGGAGCTGTATATCCCGAGCTTACTGTAACTAAAAAAAATTTATTGAAATTTCTGGAAAATGCGCCTGATTTTCATCTGTCAAACCCGGAAAAAACTCCTCCATCCCCGAATTTCTGGGGATTGGGAAATTTTCTCCAAATTCCGGTTTTGGGAAAGATTTTCCAAGAAAATTTCATTTCTGGCTCTCGGAGAGTTCCGGGTTTGAGGGATTCCGGCTAATGGAGATATTACTGCATCTTAAAATGATTTACAACTTGTAAAAGAAAATATAAAGGATTGTTTTTTAGGTTTATTGTACACAAGAATTGAGAAAAAATTGTATACATGAACAGTAATGGTGAACATTGGACAGTAAGAGAATGTAAATAATAATAAGAGAAATAATTAATGGTTTATTGAAAGAACAGGGCAGCCAAGGTGTGATGATTGTTTGTCTAGATTCTGTGTTTGATGTTCATGTATTTTAATTTGTGTTTCTTTTGTTTCAGGTCATCATGATTGTTGTCAAATGAAGCTTACAAAGACTGGTTTGCTTCCACAAGTGACTGAAGTCAACTGTTGTGCTACCTAATAGTCTTCTTCCTTCCACCAATTATTAGTATTTAAAGCTTTTTCTCATCTTTCACATTGATGCAGAAGTGGAAAATTAAGCCATGTATATTAACAATCATATTAAGCTTATTTTGAAATTTGAATGGTGTCTTTTATAGAAGGTATGTAAGACCAAGTGAATGAGGCTCACTAATTTGACAGTTTAAGTGCTTCGAACAAAACACAAAAGCAACATTAGGTTCATACAGTACAAACAGCACAAGGGTCAGAAAGAAAAGTACAGTGAGTGTTTGTTCTGCACACTTAGCCATGAGACAGGATCAGGTTAATTGTATCAGTTTACTTTAATTGGATATTATTGTTTTTGTTATTTTCATATTATATAAATCATCAATTTAATTGGGGAATCTGTGTACAGTTCATTGTAAATAACATGACATTGTAAAGTCCAACAACTCAAAACATGTCATGTCTTTAAAAAAAAATTAGTTTTCTCATAAACAACATTTGTACCTTTACACAGAACTCATGATTGCATGTGTTTCTGGGTGTTGCCATGCAGTGTTACCATACCCAACACCACACTACTTTCTTGTGAATACTCAGTTTAAATTCATGATGGTTATGTCCCAAAGACTTTGCAATATTATATGTTTTCTGTTTTTGTTTTTTTCTAATTTTATATTGTTCAAAGTTCAGAGTGGTTAGGACAAATCTTTAAAAGCTGACCTATGAGAATACAAGCTTTGTCAGGGTGTGAAAAACTGTTGCATCAAGTACCTGGTAACCACTTACGTCACCTCCCTTCTTAACCCCTTCACTGACTTATCATTCTTTTTCCATTTTACCCTTTCACAGGGAGTCCAAATCTCACCCATTGACTGGCCGACCAAAATACATAGATTTTTTCTTGAATTTATTTTTTCATTTACTATTTACGGGTAATAATATGTAAATTTTTTCTTCATTATTTATTGAGTTGTAATGCTAAACTATCTGATTAAGTGATAAACGAACAAAATAGTACAACAAAACTGACTTATATACTAAAACCTTTTAATCTTAAAATCTCTGGTTAAATTATATACCCCTGTAATACAGTCTACTGTACCTCTACAGTAGTAATGCAGTCTTATACCTGATTTTGCATATGAACAATGTACAGTAGCATAGTCACACAGAGTTGTGGAGTTAGTGTACTCTCAGTTAAACTAGTTCTCTACATTTGTGAAAAATGTATACAGTCACACAAAGTTGTCGAGTTTATGTTTAACAGTACAGTACTGTACACAGTTAAATTGGTTCTCTGTTTAAGTGAACAATATTCCAGACAAACTCTCTAGCTATACAAGCCATTGACCTCTCACTATGAAAATTTTTACCTGAGCTTTAGTTAGTTGTGTGTGCAAGGTTGGTCACACTACTGGTGAAACAAAAACACATTTATTTGTGTAACTTGATGCTGCTGCTTTGTCATGTAATATTGACCAAAAACATCAAGCTAAAATATTAATGAAATGTAAAATATATATACAGTAGATAATATGATTGATGGGAAGCAGTTCAAAGATATTAAAACTGTTGTGAAGATGCCTGTTATATTTGTGAGGTGCAGGCAAGGAGAGGGGGGGTGATAAGGCACTAGTGTTTTTCCTCTGCTCCTCAGTACAGTAATGAAAACAAAAAGAGGAAATAAGTGTACAAAGTCTTAAAAAAAAGTTATAATAAACTGCTGAAGGAGAGATGGGAGCTCACATTTTGAAAGATGCACTGTACCGTACTGTACTGTACTGTACTCATGTGTTGATCTACAAAATTACAGTCATTCTAGATTGAATTATTTCATAATTTCTTGAACATATTTCAATGTTTCTGTAATTGATGAAATTAATTTACCTGCAAATATTTGTTCATCTTGTCATCTTGTTGCAAATGACACTAGGGGATGTCAGGCATTAAACTGAAAAATAATGAAGAATTTGTTCTAGAGAATCCAGTGTGCAATACAATGCTTGAATTTTATTAAATAATACACCTTTTCACATATCCGTTGAGACATTGTTACATAACTAATTGACAAATTTCATAACCGAATGACAGAACACATATCGAATGACAATCTAAAATAACTGTTGGTGTATGTCATTCTCCAATTGTTACATTCTCAAACTATATGTAGACTGTCGGTTTATTGTTCACGCTTCGTCAACTTCATAACTTATGTCAATCACTTCCGTTAGCATGAACGAACAGTTATTTTAGATTGTCATTCGATATGTGTTCTGTCATTCGGTTATGAAATTTGTCAAATAGTTATGTAACAAATGTCTCAACGGATATGTGAAAAGGTGTAATGTGCAAAATAGTGATAATGTACCCACACTAAGAGGAGTAATCATACAGGAATAGATTAAGTGATAATGCTAATGTGAATGTTAAAAATAGATGTAGTTAGTGAAAAGTTAATTCATATGGCGAGTAACTTCATTATATTGTATTTATGTAGATATTGTTAATGGATATTATGTCTCTTGAGTTGTAATGATACTCTGGGTAAAAGCCTTTGAAATATACAGTACTGGAGTAATATAGACTGAGCTAGAAAGTTGTTGGTGCCGGCTGTAGGTTCAGGTGAGATGTAATATGGAGTAAGAAAGGTGATGTGGGGAAAAAGTTTCTTATTGAATTACTACTGTATTAAAGAAACGAGTGGGAGAGTAAGATCAATGAAACACTTGGAAGGAGAATATAATTGCATGAGATGTCTGGTAATAATTTTGATGTAGGAGTTTGTTAATGGCACCGCAATATATTCAGTATATATAATTAATTGGATTACATAAGTACAGTTGCATATAACAACATTGTATTGAGGACTTATTTGTTAAGTTTTCAACACCTAAACATTAAAATACAGTACACTACAGTTCTGTTGTTGATTCTGTTAGAAACTCCCAGGTCTTTATTTTGAATTTTCAGAATTATTTGCAATATATCACTACACATGTTATCCTGCTTGGCTTAACTGAGTGTAGCAGATTACACACGTTATCCTGCTTGGCTTAACCGAGTGTAGCATATTACACATGTTATCCTGCTTGGCTTAACTGAGTGTAGCATATTACACATGTTATCCTGCTTGGCTTAACTGAGTGTAGCAGATTACACACGTTATCCTGCTTGGCTTAACTGAGTGTAGCATATTACACATGTTATCCTGCTTGGCTTAACTGAGTGTAGCGTATTACACATGTTATCCTGCGTGGATTGACCGAGTGTAGCATATTACACATGTTATCCTGCTTGGGTTGACTGAGTGTAGCATCATTGTAGGCTGACAAATCTATACTTGACAATGGTTTTTCACTTGAATTAAGGAGTCTTTATAATGAGACTTCACACATTTGTGGTAGTACATCACCATTTTCTCAGGTTATCATTTATGTGGCCAATTTTCTGCTGAATTGCATTTTCCCTGTTTTCCCTCAAATGTCTCCCATTATTCATTTTCACATATACTTACTGCATGTTATGTTGATAAATTTAATGTTTTAAAAAGATTCACTTAGTAGTAAACTTTCACAATATATCTAGTGTTGCTCCAGGCTGTAGATGCAGTGGATGTACTTTTTTGTTTGACAGTAAAAAGAAACCTTAGATGAGTGCCCTAATAATACACTGTATTTGTTAGCAGGTATGGATCTAATATTTTTCTTCAGTACAAGAGTTTTGTGCTCCTCATCACAGTGGGACTATGCAATGGTTTATGAAGTATTAGTCAGTAATATGCAGTCACATGGTCTCTCAGTGTATGTGTGTTCTCCACAGGTGAGTGATGCCTTTTTTATGTCATTGCTGGTAAATAGTGGAACTGCATGATTTAGCTAGTCTTAGTGAGTGATGTTCTGTTTCTTGATGCTGTAAAGTAGTGAAAGTGTTTGGTTTATAAAGTACAATATGTACAGTATTAGTGAATGATAATTGCTTGACACTGTAAAGTAGTGAAAGTGTTTGGTTTATAAAGTACAATATGTACAGTATTAGTGAATGATGTGTTCTCCAATGATGCAACAGTTAAGCAAAGGAAGTATGTTGTTTATGGAATATAAGTGATTGGTGTGTAGCCAGAAGATTATTTTAGCTATACAGTACTATACATAGCCTGCCACAAAGTGTAAAATATCATCTTAGAATATAATATTTATGATTTAATTATGCACAAGTAAATTGTACAACTCCCATAATCGTTTGTTTGTTCTGTAGGAAGTCTTTGTTATATATGACTACAGTACTGCATATTGGGCAACCCAAGCAGGTACAGTTGCATACAATATTCCCTGATTACTTGGCAGTATCTGGTATCCACTTTTGGGTCACTTTTATACTGTATATCGATAGTAACATTATTAGATATGAACCAATTATATATATATATATATATATATATATATATATATATATATATATATATATATATATATATATATATATATATAAATAATTGGTTCATATCTAATAATGTTACTTTGCATCACATATTATGTCAGAACCAGAAAATACGTTAAAATTCCAATCCTCTCACCTAATGATCATTAAGTATTAAGGTGCTAGATGCCGCCAAGTGTTCAGGGGATTTTGCTCAACTGTACATTTCATATAACATCTGTTAGATTTAGGCCATTATTGGTATCTGACATGAGTTCTGTTTCCTATTTGTTCCTTACAGACAGATCCCCGTGTGTGTAGATGTTATTTTTCTGTTAATGTAATATCTGTAGATGTTATTTTTCTTATATAATGAAATATCTATTAATATTTTCTTCCATGTGACAAGGTTATGAGCCTTCAGTATGGCATACAAGTCCAGTACAAGAGATACAAGTTTTGTGGGCCACATTATTTATGTAGCTTATATATTTAAGTTTTTGTTAAATTAAGTTTCTTTGTAGAGTGGTAAGTGTATTTTTTTGTTTTACATTATTGACATGAGTGTGAAGAAAATACTGGTGCATATTCAGCTAACATGTTCGGTATTGAAAATGTTACTGGTAAAATGATTACATTTACCTAATATTTTATTTTATTTTTAGCTATTCCTCCTGACACTAAACCAAAGATGGTACAGCATTTATTTTCTTCAAGCCCCTCTCTTTATTTCATAGTCTTGTAAGTTTTGGTAAGCATATGCTGAAATTATTTCTTGTATTATATATTACAGTGTATAAGAATGAAAAGCTCTTAAAATGTGGACAATGTGACAAACAGCTACATGTGTCTGAGTTGTCATTATACACTATAAATAAATCAATATATAATATATATATATATATATATATATATATATATATATATATATATATATATATATATATATATATATATATATATATATATATATTTCATATAAATCCACAATGAAAATGTGGATAAGATAAATCTTGATAAAATCACATGGGAAAATGGAAACAATGGAGCACCTTAGCTTTTGTCTTTATTGTTTCCATTTTCCCGTGTGATTTTATCAATATACTGTATATATATATATATATATATATATATATATATATATATATATATATATATATATATATATATATACAGATAGACCCCGATTTAAGACGGGTTAGGGACCCAAATCCAGGTCGTAAGTCCGACATAGATAAAAAATCTACAATGAAATACAATACAGTAAAAGTAATGAATAATGAGGAATGGATATGTGTGACTGAGCATTTACCTTAATGTAGTCAGCTGAATGCACATGGGGCCCCCATAATTTTCTAATTTTACATGGAGACTACATTAACTGGAAACGTTTCGTATAGAAAATGCGGTATTTGAAAAAATTAATAAAAAATTCAAGGGCGGTCGAAGTCCCGACGGTCGTAAGTCCCGACGGTCGAAGTCCCAAGGTCAAGTCGTAGCAGTCGTAAGTCGGGGTCTAGCTGTATATATAGGTAATACAGTATATATATATATATATATATATATATATATATATATATATATATATATATATATATATATATATATATATATATATATATATATATATATATATATATATATATATATATATATATATATATATATATAGGTATATATATATATATATATATATCGGGTATATATATATATATATATATATACGATATATATATATATATATATACTGTATATATATATATATATATACCGGTATATATATATATATATATATATATATATCTCATGCACTATTCTAATTTTGCATTATTTTTATTTAATTGTTTTGCAACGTAAGATACACAAGTAAATGAAGTGATCATAAATTAATTGTAGAAAATAGTGGTACAGGTTGACAACTCTTTATCCGAAAACCTTAAGTTTTTTTAGTACTATATATATATATATACTGTGTGTATATATATATATATATATATATATATATATATATATATATATATATATATATATATATATATATATATATATATATATATATATATATATATATATATATATATATATATATATATATATATATATATATATATATATATATATATATATATATATATATTTTTTTTTTTTTTATAACAGGATCAGCCCACCCGGGCATAGATCACTGACCCACATCAGGGCCTGGGGGGCTGAAATGTAATTGTTATAATAATTATAATTATAATAATAATTCATAGTAAATAAAATTTGTAATAAAAATACACCAAAATAAAATATGATAACATTAATATTAATAATAATAATAATAATAATAATAATAATAATAATAAAAATAATAATATTATATAATAATAAAATTAATAAAAATAACAATAATACAGGAGTATCGTACTGTAATAATAAAATAATAATAAATAAATAAAAATAAAGAAATACAAGAATGAAAAAAGATCAAAAGTGAGAAACACCGACCTAGACCTATAATTTTTATTATTATTATTATTATTTTTATAATTATTATACCCCCCAGGCCCTGATGTGGGTCAGTGATCTATGCCCGGTGCTCATGCACATTTAATGGGGAAAAAAAAAAATAATTCTGAAACCGAATTCCGAAATCCGAAATTCCTCTGGCCCCAAGGATTTCGGATAAGGGATTGTCAACCTGTAGTGAATTATTTTCTTATGAAGTTATGGGTATTTAGCCAGTGCAATTGGCGATTTGTTCAGTCTAATCGGGCTATTCCTTGACAGCTACTAAGCAAGTTAAATGTAAGAATAAATTCTTACAGTACTGTGTATGTATGTACAGTACAGTAAATAGAAATAAACGTATGTGAAGCTTTGGGCAGTCTTAAATGTTATGGACATGGACTTTGGATTTTTAAGCTCTGACTGTACAAGAAACTTTCATTAAAAACAGTCTAGTCCTTAGTCAATATGGTTAAGTTAATTTTGTAATTGATTTATAAAGAACTTATAAAAAGCATTGTGTTTTGTTAGTGAAAATATAGATACCTTTATTTACTGGGTGGTACTGTACCCCCACATAATTTGTGTTTTATTTAGATGTTGCAGTCATGGACATGTCTTAATTATATTTACATATTCTACTTCTGGAAGAGACCATCAGGATTTAACAAATATATCTTATTCACAGTTAACTGTTTGTATTATTAATACACGGCAATGGGTGTGAGCTCATTCAAGAGTAGACCTGACCCACACTGGTACTGTACATTCTGGAACCAATACATACCCAGTATACTTGCCAACGGTCTGTAAGAGAGATGAGACCAACCACCCAAGTGGCTAACATGCCGATCAGTGGCGAAGAGGACACAGTACAGAATTATTTTATATTGCCTTAAAAGTATTTTATTTGGTGTTGGTCATAAATTGGGATATTATGATCATGTCTTCATTTTTATAAGCTAGGGGCAATTATTTCAGATGTAGGTGTGCAAACACTATCACAATGGAGGGTTCACAGCACTCATGGTTTGTGAGAAATTTACCACCAAATGTTTAGAACACTGGAAGAAGATTTACATGTCGAGCTAAATGATTCTGACCTCAGACAAGATAAAATACAAGATGGAGGGTAGTAATACACTATTAGACTTTCTCGTTTTTACATTTAGATAAAAATACAAGATTTCATATTAATATGAAATGTATAGAATGCCACACTTTTAGGTAAATTTGATGGGAAGTTTCCACACAATGCATTACAATGGTTATCCTGTGATGTGTAAACTGTCTTTTGAAATATTCTAAAACCACACTACACACTAGTAAAATTGTTTAAACATACATTAATTGCATTTTATTAATAAATCTGATTTATGTAAATGGTAAATCTTTTATTATACAGTATGTTTAGTTTATTTTATATTTAAGCTCACTTCTTTTGATTAATAGAGTAATAAAAACACTAAATTTGAAATGTCTATGTAATTCAAATTATGGAAATTCAATAAGTCTATTTCTGAAATAGTGAGAAGTTGCATAAGGTATACAGGTATATATTTTGGAACATGTAACCTAACCAACACCTCAAAGTTTTTGTCAGAAATCCTCTATATTAGTACAGTAACTTACATCTTCCTTTCATTTTGTGAAAGATCTTCTATATTATGAGTAGAAGCAAACTTCCTCCTTAGAATTTGTCAGAGATCCTCTTATATTGTGAGTTGAGTCTCTCCTCTTCAAATTCACACATAATCTCTCTTACATTCTGATAGTTACTCATAATAAGGTTTACCATGTAGGAGCTGGGCCTCGGAAGGGGAAATCATGGTTATTCTCAAAGAAGTAGTTTGGTTCATATCTATTGTGTCGGGATGCAGAGGGGTAGAAGTTTGTATCTGGGTAACCTTGTGAATCCAAGTAAATTGGTTCGTCATATGAAGGTGAAAATTTTGTCCTGAAATTAGGACCTTGGAGGAACTGTTGTCCCGGGTATTGACTGTTGTATGGTGACATATCAAAAGAATCATCATCAGGGGTGAACGTCATATCTACTGGATATATCTCTACATCATATTGTGGTTGACGCTAAACCTGTCAAAATCAAAAGACATACTGGAGGAGGTTCTGAAATGAGGAGAACTTCCTCTTGCATCTAGTTCATCGTTTGCACTGTAGAAAGATCCATAATACTCAAATGGATCTTGGGTGAAACTGTCGGGTCCAGATGGAGTTTAGGGATAAAAGTTTTGTTCGTGTGTGTGTTGTGGTACAAAGTACTGTTCATAGGCACTGAAGTTTGGCCGAGGCACTCTTGAGTATGCATCTGGTCTTCTGTATAGTTGTGAATGATGTTGTAATGATCCCTGAAGTAGTTGTGGGAACATTTTAACATCAGACGATGCTTGTCTGAGTGTATTGTAGTAATTGAAGCTCTGTGGAAAAGATGATGGTTCATAATATTCATTTTGAAAGTTGTTTGGTCTTAGAAAAATACTTGAGGCTACATGATTTCCTTCGTGGTTGGGTCCAAACAGGGTATCAGCAGGGAGGAGGGTGGCTCGTGAGTTCATAAAGTCTGGATTCTTTTGAAGTATCTCCGGTTGGGCAGGAAAATGTGGGAACACCTTATCTGTCATTGTTTTCATGTCTGATGAATGAGGTCCGGACATCTGTTGCCGAGAAGGGCCTCTTCTTGGTTCATGTACTGGCAAGAAAGCAGGATTTTCTCCCCACTTCTGAGGAAACATTGTTAATGTTTTGGGTGGTTTATTGTTATCAGGGAAGATGATGGGATGATAATTATTGTTGCTATTTGGTCTCCAGTGAGGCTCTTGGTCTTCAGTGAAAGGAGAGCGATAGTTTTCTTCTGGGAACTCAGCAATTGGTAGTGGTCGCTCCTCAATAATCACTCTCTCCCCAACAACAGGCATGATGGTATCCTCTGAATCATGCTGTGGCTCATTCTTTATGATGATATCTACAACATCACTGGGGAAGTCATTTGATGATTCCTTTTCCTCTATCATATAGAAATGTCTCATATCTGCTATAGGTCCAGAGCTGCTTTCCATCACCACAACTGGGTACATGTCATCTCTGAATCCAATTGGTTCTTCAAGAGGTTTTGGCATCAGAAGGTCCAACAGAGAGGGGACTGGGGATAAATCACTCTGTGGCCCAGGAAGGTATTCTTCAAAAAGGTCCTCTTCCTCAACGAGCTGCTCCAAATTTATAACTGGAACCTGTTCATAAGTAAAGTCACCCTCGGGAACATCGCTTTCTTCAGTAAATTCCTCCTCTGGAATAAAAGACTCTGTCTCAAAGTCTTCGGCTGGTATGTAAGATTCATCTGTAAGAGTCTGCCATATGGGTGCGAGATATCAAACGCAACTGCCATTATGGGTGAATCTTTCAACATGGGATGACCTTCCATCACAGTACTTTCCTCGTTGACAGGCAGGGCTTGCTCTCCCAAGAGTTCAAAATCTGACAATATCATTTCCTCACCAAGACCATCATCATGGTCAATAGGATAAGAGTCCTCTTTAACTGCTGCTGTTTCGTCAATGAGTGTTACTCCTGGAGGAGTTTGGTCAGTATCAGCTTCATACAATGATAATATCATCACATCAGTGTCAGGATTCGGTTCATCAGAGAGTATCTCCTCTGATGAAAC